TCTGACTTTCTGAAGTTCTTAATGCTCAATCCACTTGAGTTACACTTGGTTCCCAAGGCCCTCCACCTTTGGCCTCATCTCTTGACTCTTAACGCTGCCTACAGGATAGTTAACATGAGATGGTTGGCCCCAATGAACCTTACTTACTGGTATTTATGACCTTGTGAGTTTCCTCACACAACCAATCTCCAACCCATTAAAGTATAGCTCAGATGACAGCAGGGGACCTCCAAGGCTAGGTCATAAAAGGTCATTACTGTCTCTGMTTGGTTTCTTAGATCACAAGCTTTAGGCAAAACTAGTCCCCATGTCAAGGGGATACCGAAGCAGCTCTGTGAAGAAACCCTAAGAGAAAAGGAGACACCTACCAACAGGAAGTACCAACTTGCCAGTCATGAGARAAAACCACTATGGAGCTGATCCTTCAACCCTAGATAACAGTCTTAAGACAGTCTCAGCTGATTTGATGGTAGTTTCATTAGAGACTAAGCCAGAACTTCTGAATTCTGATCACACAAGTTGTGAGAATCGATGATGTTTTTAAAGTCACTACATTTTGGTGACTTAGAATGCATTAGATAATACAATAGTCATAACTCTCCACTAATACACAATGCCAACACACAGGTCTCCATATTGTCTTTGTCTTTTTACTTCTGTCTTCTCACAAAACAACTAACAATTAGACAAACAGCAAGCCTTCTTTGAGTCTTAAAGCATCCAACATTTAGCTCAGTTTCACGTCATGAAACATGTCTTATTATAACATTTTGACTGTCTTTCCTTTGGTAACTTCAGTGTTGGAAACAGAATTGTTTACTTACTGTCCTGTATCATCTGTCATTTTACACGTATTAATTTGTAAATACAAATGTGATTTAGATTTCTTGTGTTTTCCACAGCACCTGGCCTGTGCCACACAGGTACCAGTACTTTAGCAAAATGATTGGGATTTTTAATTGTCCACTATCCAGTAGGAAAAAAAAATAGGACAAAAGTTATTATTTGGAATCTAGGAGTTAATCACCAAAAATGACCATGAGTAATAACATCCTCTATAAAGAAACATAGAAATATATCTCAGAAACTTAATTTTCCATAGTTGAGCATTTATCTTACTCAAAAATTTTATGTAGCTGGGCACGGTGGTGCATACCTGTAATCCCAGCAATTTAGGAGGCTAAGGCAGGAAGATTGCAAGTTTGAGGCCAGCCTGGGCAATGTACCATGATCCTGTCCTTTTTAAAAAAGAGGAATAGAGATGCAGATCAGTGGTGGAATGATTGCCTAGTATGCATATGGTGCAGGGTTCAATCACCAAAACCACCCCCCCAACCAAAAAAAAAAAAAAAAAAGAGAGAGAGAGAGAGAAAGAAAGAAAGACAAAATTACTCCTTTGAGGATTGGAATAAACAACTTTCAGGCTCAATGATTTTGCAAAGTTGATTAAAAATAGTTTTAGAGGTATGTAGGGTGTTGTTTTATGTACAGAAAGGAAATTTAAGTTAGAGATAACTAAATATATATGCATTAGGGTTATAGCTTGTGACAACTACAATCCAGTGCTTCCAATTAACTTTTGTCCTAACTGAATCCTTGACCCTACTCAGCCAGAACCCAATCATCTTTGCATTCTTATCATTCTGGTTTTCCTCACTGGAGATGACAATTTAACAATTCCTAGAAGACAGTAAATTAAGGCCAGAGTGGAAACATGGCTGTCAGTATATGACTTTGGAAATTAATTCATCGAGTATTATAGAAGAGAAAAATATTTTGGAGCAAAGACTGCCAATATATTTCAAATTAAACTTTAAAATCATTGCTGGGTATTAAGAAGCACTCAGTTTAATTCATCAGTTGTCATATGTAGTTCATTGTTGGAAACAGAATCATGTATTTGCTGTTCTGTATCATTTGACATATTAAACAAATACATATCTATTTTATATGGAGAGAGAAAGAGGAAGAGAGAGAGGAAGAGGGAGGGAGGGAAGAAAAGAAAGAAAGATGAAAGAGAAAGGGAGAAGAAGAGACAGGCAGATGAGTTTCATGTTAAGGAAGACTTGAAGATAATTAGGTCTGGCAAGTCTGAAATTTACAGAGTAGGTCGGAGACTAGAAACTCAGGCAAAATTAAAGTTGTAGTTTTTTTGTTGTTTAGTTTGGTTTGGATCCCAGGGCCTTGCACATGCTAGGCAGGTGCTCTAACAATGAGTTAACATCTCCCATTCTAATGTGCGGTCTTAAGGCAGAACTCCTTCTTTGGGAAGCTCCCAATTCTGCTCTGAAAGCCTTCAACTGACTAGGTGAGGCACACCCATGTTAGGCTTTACTTAAAATCAATTGATTATAAACATGAATCACATCTACAAACACCTTCACAGCCACATCTCAGTTTTTGACCACACATGGATGCTATAGCTTAGCTGGTTGGCAGAAAATTAACCACCACTATCCATATTTGACAAAGTAAACTTTGGGGGGATATTTGATTTTAAAAATTTCCATACTATATATGTCATATAGAGAGAGTATTCTAGATGTTCTGGGCACTACATGGATCAAAAAATTAGGAGGAGACATGCTGATCTAAGAGTTAATCACCGAAAATAACTAGGAGTAATAACATCCTGTCTAATAAAGTGCAGAAATACATCTTAGAAACTTCATTTTCTATAGGCAATTGTTTATTTTCTTAAAAAATTTTATGTAGCTGGGTGCAGTGGCACACACCCATAATGCCAGCTATTTGGGAGATGAAGGTAGAAGGATCCCACGTTCTGGGTTAGCCTTAGCAACTTGTCAAGACCCTGTTTCAAAATAAGAAACAGGTACTGAGGATGTAGGTCCATGGTACAGTGCCCAGGGTTCAATCTCCAGTACTGGGGGAAAAATTAATGTAATACTAAAGCAGGGACTGTAACCAATCACAAAATAATCAAATGTCTCCGTCTGCTGACCTAGCTTTTAAAAGTATTACAACATTCTCAGAGTTGCCAAGTTATTCTGTACAAAACTGAAATTCAAAAAGCATTTCTCTATCAGAGGATATAGCTTTTTTTTTTTTCACAAAGAAGTTACATGTAAATTCCCAGACGTTTCACTCATGTATAAGATGACAGAAAAACAGATAAAGCAAGGATGACCTCAAAGAAGACAACCTCACTTCCCCCAAAGTGATTTAAAGCTGCAAAATGCTGGGCTGAGCAGACCCAAGGACTGACTTGTCCCAATTCCTGGGATTTTATAAAGTGCTAGGGATGTTTGGAGACTCTCATAGAAATAAACATTATCACTGCGCAAATCATATTTTATGTATAAGATGCAGCTTCTCATGGTTAAGGCTGCATACAGACCCTTATTTATTTGGTCTTTTACTCTATAAAATGCTATCGGCACTGGCTGGAGGAAGGGATAATGGCATATTAATGTGTCTTAGAAGAGTTTCCTATTTAGAGCAGGTCATATTTTAGCATGACTTAGTGAAATCTCTGTGCAGAAAATGTGTGACCCTAAAGACATGGGTCTAATAAGTTCAATTAATAGCAGAACTGAGGTTCTGATCCAGGCACCTCTACAGAAGGGTTGGAATCCATCCTTATTAAAATATTTGCAAATACACATGTATATGTCCTTAGTTCACAATCTCAGTATCCAAATCATCTATTTAAAGGTCCTGAAACCAAACTGTTTGAAAATTTTTATTTGGGTAGCATAAAATATCTACAATTGGATCTTTACAAAAGAAGATGTGCAAAAGGGGAGAAGTAAATTTATACATAAGATTTTGCTGCTGAAATGTGGGAAGACATCAATAATCAACTTAGGTTCCAGAACTCATGCAGAACGGTCAGAACTTTGTCTTCCTTAGGTAAAGGAAGTAGAAACTATGTTAATCCCCTGGTGAATTAGTTTATAGAAACTCAGAGATTATACTGAACCTAAACAAAAATAAATCTATGGGAAGGGAAGACAGACTAAATTATTTCAAATCATAATAGTACATAAACATATTTAGAAAGACTGAAAACAATTATCTCAATAATATGACATTGGTTTTCAAGTCCATGATGCCATCGATACTCATTTACACTGTGGCATTTCATCTCATGGTTCAGTATTTAAAAATCACATAAAAATTTACGCATAACATCAAGTGTGACTGTAAGTAACTGTTATCCTGGGATATATGTCTCTTTCTTGCTCTGTAAATCCAGATGATTTGGCCACATATACAACCCTGTCACTGACCTGACTACTCGACAGCAGAGGGCGAGACCTACCAGAATGATCCACAGACAGGGGCACCTCACTGTAAAGCCTCAAAAATTTTGCAGTCATTCACACTTGGAGTGGACCAAAGGAAGGAGACATGAAGAGTTTTCGAGAAAACAGAGAATTACAATCAGAATCTATGGCACAGTAAACAAGCATATAGTAGTTAACATTTTAACAAAATATTTAAAAGTATTGTTTTCTCTGTAGGGGGAAAGCAGACAACTCTCCAGTAGTAGAAAAAGAAAAACCAACACTGATATTCAATTTCCAGTTTAAATACACTTGTGAACAGGAAGATTGTGAACCCCATTAATATAAAAACTCCAGAAGAAATTATGACCTTAATGTACAACAGCATTTCTATATCAAATTAAACTTAGTATCTGATTAAACACACCCATAGTACCTTTATGGAATTCTCTAAAATGCTCACAGTAAAAAATGTATAAACTAGAGTGTAGATTAAAACATCTTATATAGCTTGAGTGATACCTGCTGTGGGTTAAATAGCTTCAATTTTTAAAGTATGAGTTTTGACTTTTGAAAGCAGAACTGTGTTTTGGCATTCAAACCTATATAAGATCTTACAATTTTGTCTTGGGTATGGTGGCACATACCTATAATCCCAGCAACTTAGAAACTTAGTCTCTGTCTCAAAATAAAAATAAAAATGTCTGGGGATGTGGTCTGGTGGTAAAGCACCTCCAGGTTCAATCCCCAGTATCAATAAATAAATAAAATTTAAAAAAACTTAAAATTTTGTCAAATAAGGAATACAAGATATGAAACATCAAATGTGGGGGAAAGATTTCTGATCTCTAACATCACATGGGTAATGAGTGGTTTTCATCCCATGCCTCCCTGAAATCTAGCTTCTTGGAGGTGATTTACGGGTGAGTTAAAAGGATATCATTCAATTTAGTTTAAGTGCATATTTAAAAACTTACTAAAACCACACATCCTAACACATACCTTATTTTACCACACTGGAGACTGCTTATGTGTTAACTTCTACTACCAAGATAATTTATATCTTTATATAGTCTTTGGAAGATAATTTCAGCTATCTCTAATTAAAGACTCCTCCAGAGATGTGTGTTTGGACTGTTATTATAAGCACTTATATTCGTGTTTTATTGATAGCACTCAAACCGCTAAGATTTCCTCCACCATAACTCCACATTTGTGTTATTCAGAAATCTTGTTTTTCATAGTAATGAACTAACAAGTTAACATAAGCAGAAACTTGAAAAACATTTATACAGATAAAATCGACCTTGGGGGGCTGTATGTATTGAAATAATACATTAAAAATTTCAAAATATTCTAGTCCTGAAAAATGTTTGAAAAACAATGTTCTATAAAGAAACCATCTTTTAATTTAATTTGTTAATACAGAATTTAATGTGATTTAGTTTTTTAAAGCAAACTACCTTTATAATAACATTTCAATTCTCTTTATTTTTTTGGTGCTGTAGATTGAACCAGGGCCTCACAAATGCTAATGAGTACATGATCTACCATTGAGCTACATCCCCCAGACCCTCCATTCTTCAGCATAATGGTAAGTATTCTAAAAAACAGAGTGTTGTAGAGCTACAAAAAGTGAGTAACTTGTAAAAAAGTTGAGAAACTACACTGAAAACATTCATAATGGCTTTGGACCCTCCATATAGGCAGYTTTAAGGAAATATTTTTATTTCTGAATTAATCATATATTTGTTTTGGGTTTTAAACTTCAAAATATGTTCCTCCTCCAGGTAAAATGTCAATGGTGTACCTTTACACATCAACTGTATTGTGTGTTTTGACAGTTTAGGCATATTTCAAAGATTTTAGATTTTTATTTTGTGGTTTTATTATAAAACAGCTTGCACACCAAAATCAAACAGATCTTTTTTTATTTAAAAATCCACCTCAAAATTCAGTTCTGGGTTTTAGTTTTTGTTTAAAATAAAGCAAACATTTAAAAGCATCACATGTTACTAGTCTATAATTCATCTTGTAATTAGCACATAGTTTGTGGACTGGGAAAGTTAACCCAGCACATGGATCAGGCACAGTACTAGGGCCAAAGGGCCAGAAATCAGGGCACATCTGTGTACTCAGGCAACAGTGAGAGGTCTGAATGGAGTGGGTTGTGCCTCAGTGGTGGGCACCCCATTTCAATGCCCCCCCCCAAAGCTGTAAGTCTGAAATCAATACATAAGAGACTGTCCGTGACTTAGGTAATAAAAAAGAACCCCAAACAACTATATCTGCTTTCTAAAGTGTGTTGCAAAGCCAAGAAAGATGAATGTAACTGTAGTCTCACTACAGTTTGTGGTCTTGACATCTGTGACACAGGACCATGTTATAGGTGAGACAGAATTATGCCATTCCTCTGGTGGTTTTGGAAATCTGGTTGGAAGGGGTCCGTGGGTAGAGGACTTCACATTACAGCAAGGCTCTGATATTTCACGAACAGGGGCAGTGAAGAAAATCACAGTACAAAATCCTAAATTCTTTTACTGGAAAAACAACAGGTACTACATGAGAATCACTAATATAACATCTATTTTTTTAAAAAATGAAGATATAAAACATTAATTGCATAGGAATTTAAATATAAGGCCAAGAAGAATATTAAGTAAAGTAAAATCATAGAAAGGGCACTATGGTGTCAAAAGATAGAATTTCATTCTTAAGAGTAATAAATCTCAATTACTGTCTAATTAAGAATCACAGTATGTTGCTATTACTAACAGTGAATGTCAACTGTTTCCTTAACTCCACACTGGAAACCAATATTAGGATGAAGAACAACACAACTAAAGCTCATTGTCTAAACCTGATCAGTGTATTAGCACTTCAGTGCCCGGTACGTACCTGATTAGTTATATTATCTACCTTTTGCAAGTAATGCTCAATACATGTTAACAAGCGTAAGAGCATGTCATCACTGCACGCTGTCAATGATTTTCAGGGTTACTTGATAGTGTAATGTATATTCAGTCTTTCAAAGGTCCAAGATTCCACCCGGCAGAATCTTCACTCAATGAACCAAAAACACTGTCATTAACAAAATACAACAAAGTCCCTCCATTAAAAACTAAATGTACATGAACCAGAGAACTAGGTCCTGACACCAATATATACATTATCCTCAGCATACTGAAAGGCAGTGGAGGACTTGGTAGTTCAAGCTAATGGTTACCACCTGTAATGTCAGGTAGAAAGCTAATTTGGGATCCTACTTCTCATTTTCACGTTGTTAGACTGTAGTTTCAACAGCAATTTCCAGATCTAAAAGTAGCTTAGTTAACTTAGTATTGTTATAGAGAGTAGTGTGAGAAAAAAAAACAGGAATTCCTAAAGGAATTCCACTAAGGTTCATCGAGAAGACCCAAACCAATGTTTTAAATGAAAAAGTGCATAAATACAGTAATACTACAAATGTGTTAACTACGGGACCAATGTTTCTCTGGGAGCTAAATGAGACTATTTTTCCACATTATTTACATGTTACAAATTGTTCAGATACCACAAAGCACCATTTCCAATCCCAACTGCTTGATTATGTGTGACAGGTCCYTTGACTTCAACTCTGTTCACTCGAGGATCTAGTTAGCATAGAAGTGTCACGTCCTCTTCAAACAGGATTTCTCTCTACATTTGGTTCTCTTTTGTTCAGAAATGGCAAGGTGATATGTTCATTTCACACCCTTGGTTGGTGTTTCTGATTCCGTGGACTGTCTTCCATCCGTCCAGGCCTCCCGGGTACTCTTCAGAGCCAGGGTCTTCTGCTGGTCAACCACGACATAATCCACTCTCTCATCCGCCACACTGCTTCCTGAGCCACTGCTCTTTTGCTAAAATGCAAAGAAAAAACAAAAATTGTACATTAAAAAAGTAAAGTGGGACTGAGTGAAATTCAGTCTTAAAATGGACATACAGGCACTATGGATATTCTTGAAATTCTATTGGCTCACAAAGAAATACCATTAACTACCTCAGTTTAACAATGCTTCTATAATTTTAAATTTTCTCTTTAATTTAAAATTATAGAAGAATTCACACTAACACCCCCATCAGAGATGTTATTCATAGGAAACAGGGACAGAAAATACCTAGTTCATTTTTTTWAAATTTTTTATTTGTTCTTTTTAGTTATACATGGCAGTAAAATGTACTTTGCCGTATCATAGTTCATCTTAACGTATGCAGATTGATTCTCCCTTTAACTTGACTTTTTTTTTTGAAATCCAGTGTTTACTTTCAGAGTTAAGAAATGTGTGGGTTTYTTGTTTGTTTTGCTTCATTGTTGATTTTTGCAAAGCAATAGTTCAAGAACAATCAATTACATGGGCTGATGCTCTTTGACTCTCCAAATCCAGCCTGACACTAGATAACTTAAATGTGRTTATTAATGCATTGCTGGGCTCACTAGAAAGAAAACAGCTAATTATAAGAAAAATGGAGGGAGAGGTTAAGGCATGGAAAGAAACCTTGTCTTCAGGATGGATGTCAATCTAGCAGAGTCACCAGGAGGCTGGGGGAAGGAGGTCATGCTGAACCTAAGGCTATCCTGTTAAGCTGTGGTCCCCGAAGGGAATGAACTATAGTAGTAGCAGATCCTGGTTCCTAGCAAAAGGTAATACAAATCTTATCTGGAGGAAATTTAGGTYCTCAGGATTTGCAATTAGATAATATACAAACACACAAGCCAAAAAGAATGAGTTAGCAGCTGGGCGCAGTTGCGCATGCCTGTAATCCCAGCAGCTCAGGAGGCTGAGGCAAGAGGATTGAGAGTTCAAAGTCAGCCTCAGCAATTTAACAAGGCCCTAAGCAACTCAGTGGGGCCCTGTCTCTAAATAAAATAAAAAAAGGACTGGGGATATGATCAGTGGTTAAGTGCCCCTGGGTTTAATCCCTAGTACCAAAAAAAAAAAAAAAAAAAAGTTAGCAGAAACAATAAACACAAATTTAAACCTCCAAGGACTTCAGACTATCAAAGTTACTGCATCGACAGCATAAAACATGTACGTATAAAATGTTTAAAGGAACTAAAGCATAAATATAAAAGGAATAAAACAAATAAGAAATCCGAAGTTGTTAAAATCAGCAAACTGTACTTTAGAAATGAAATATAAAATAATTGAAAAAAACTAAACAAATAGGAAGAATAGAGAATTAGTGAACTCGGTGAAAGATGTAAAGAAACATCTTTAAGCACAGAGAGATGACAAGCAGAAATTATAAAAGAATGGTAAGAGATCCAGAAAATACAGACATCCTAACATGTCTAATCAGAAATGTCAGAGGAGAGAATAAACAGTAAAAAGAATGACTGACATTTTTCCAGAGTTGAGAAAAAATTGCAAACCCAGAAAATGAAATAGCAGCACAACTTCTACTAAGCAGGACAAATAAAAAGCAATTCATGTCTAGACTTTGTTGGGAAACTGCAAAATGACACAAACAGAGGAAAGAGCTTAAAATCAGCCAGACAGAAAGGATAGGTGACCTGCATAGGAATGGCCATCGGACTACAACATACTTTCCAACACAAGGGACAGAAGCGAGGTGAAGGGGGAACAGTGTCTTCTAYGTGGTGGTGAGAAAGTTACTGTCAGTCAAGAGCTGTCTGCTGAACCTGTCTTGTTTTCCAAGATAAAGCAAAATCAAGACATCACATAAAACAAACAAACAAAAAGTGGAAAGGATTTACCACCCTCAGAGCTCCACTAAAGAAACTTCTAAAGACTACATTTCAGAAGGAAGAAAAATAATTACAAGAAGGAGAGTCTAAGATACAAAAAGAGTGATAGACAAAGAAGTTGGTAAGCAGGTAGGAAGATGTAAGCCAATGCTGTTTACAAAATGGATTCCTACTAATACTACTAATCGTGGGCTTAACAAAAGAAAAAAATTGAAATTTTGGACAGAAAGAACACATGATTTGAGATAACTTTCTAAAAAAGAATGAAGATATTGTTTACCTTAAGAATCTGTTAAGCAATCATTTCAGTGATAAAAACAGAAAATGTCTAACCGCCATACCATCAGAAAGAAGAAAGTTACTTTATCAGTCTCCATAATTTTTTCTTTCTTTCTTTTTTATTTTGAGGGGGGCGGAATACTAGGGATTGAACCCAGGGGTGCTCCACCACTGAGCCACATTCCCCCCCCCCCCTTTTATTCTTTGAGACAAGGTCTCTCTAAGTTTCTGAGCTAGTCTTAAACTTGTGATCCTCCTGATCCAGCCTCCCGGGTCTCTGGATTTCAGGCGTGTGCCACTGTGCCTGACTCAGACTCCACCATTTTGTTGCAGTTTTCAAAAGTGCATTAAGTAATAGACTTCATTAAATTTAAATTAAACATAATAAAGGTTTCCCCAAGGAGACAATGCTGGTTTAAAGTGCATGCTAACTACATTTGTGGAATGAGGTTTCACTCACCTTCCGTGGTGGTGTGGACTTCCCAGAATCTAAATCTAGATCAAGGTACTCCACYTGCTTGTCTCCTTTGGGCTTGATCATAGGACTGCTTCCTCCATCAAGGCTATTACTGCCAAAAAGATTCTGAAAGTGAACCACAACAACACCAGCCGTCAAACATTCATGAAATACACCATTCATCCTTTTTCATTTGAGTTGGGGGCCTTAAAACTCCTGGGCTCAAGAGATCCTCCTGCCTCAGCCTCCTGAGTAGCTAGGAATACACATGTGAGCCACCACCACTGATACATACCATTCACCTTGTACTTGCTTTTCAAAAGAMCAAGGCTAGAAAAAATGTCTGCTTAGAAAATTAAATAAACTCTTAGAATTGAATGAAAATAAATAATATTTTAAATATATTAAAACTTAGAGGAAGTCAAAAGTAGTTTCAGAAGTTAAATTTGGTTAAACTTAGACTGGGGAAAYCAAATCACAGCTGGCCATAAAAGTTCAATCTGAACATTATTAACATTATATTGTACTCAATTTCATTTTTATAGCAGAGGCTCCTTATACCCACTGCTTTCAAATTAAATTTAAAAGAAAGCTTCTATGGTTAATTTAAAGGCTTTCAAGCAAAAACATTAGTTTTGAGTTAAATATATTATCTCAAGGTTATAGATAATGATTCCAAAGTCTATTTTATTTAATCATCTGGATTTCTTTTAACCAATTAATTTCCTGTCTTTTCTTAGTTTGATCTCTTCCTTTCTAAAAGGAAGTGTACAATAGGACTACTCTCTAGAGTAAAATAAAGAAAATAGGAAGATAGAGGATAGCAATAAACAAGAACCAAAAAGCTAGAGGCTTGAGAAAAATAAAAATGGATCAGGTTAGCAGGAACTCGAACCAATGCTAAATAGGAGGAGGGCGAAATGCCCTTATGTCCCTACGTCCACTCTCTTTTGTATCCTAAGTGTGCGCCAAAGTGACTTGCCACCATGCACACCGCMGTTCCCCCATCTAGAAATGCTGCCTCACAAGGAAGACCGCATGCTCATCAGGGACTTGTGCATGAATCTGGTTCCGTTGACTCTTTGAGTTGCTGTTTCACCCCTGTCTCCCATGACCCACAGTTAAAGTAGAGAGAGTTGTGTTTAAAGGAAAGAACATTTGCTAGAAAAATACTCAGTTTATTCCCTCGTGTGGTAGTGGGGCTGCTGACAGGCAGTATAAATCCTTTTATAAATTAGAAAAAGGTGCTCCTTTCTCTGAAGTGACACACTCTGTGCCAGGGCCCACAGCCTGATGAGGGGCCCCACATGGCCTGGATTTCATGAGGTGGGGTGTAAGAGTGAAGCAAGCAACTGCACAGGTGAATGCAATAACCCTATTTAAAGAAAAATAATTTTAAATCAAATTTCTCAACAACTACAAATAAAATATTGAAATTAACATGTAGGGTTGAAAAATATAAGAAAATTTTGCTCAAGCTGAAATGCTAAAGACAGTACCCCCCATTTTACTAATTCATGAAGAAGCTGAAATCAGTGTCATTTTTTCCCCCTGCCTAAGGCCATATTTTACTCTCACAACCAATYAGCTGGGAGGGTAAGCAATATTCCATGTTCAAAGGTGATGGATAACAACCCACATCCCATGTTTCCCTGCCTGGAAACGCCTAGAAGTGTTCACAGTGTTATAAAGATATAAAGGGAATCCATAAATTCATATGACCTGCTCATTTAACCCTAATAAGTTGTCCCCAAAGAGAACTTCTCAGAACTGCTAKTTAAGTTTTATGTCTAGTGACTACTAAAACTGGAAATGTTTAAGTATTGTTAAAATCTGTGTGTCGATGAGGAAGTCTATTTGTTCTTGATCCGGTTTCAACAGGGAACAGCCTCCCTCTGTGTTCTAGCCTTTCACCCACTGTGTTTCCAAAATAGTTTTTTGAGGAACTGTGAAAATTGTGGGAATTATCGTGTTCTGTAAATTAAATAACAAAACAGTAATGCTAGATTTTTCTAAAATTCTTCAAAAAACATGTAAGATCGTTTAGGATATGTATGTTGTTATTATGTAACAATTTATGTCTTTAGTAATAGTGTACCATCACTTAAATTTCAGGTATTAAATTAAGGGTTCAAATGTTTGACATTGATCTTCATACAAATTAGTGGACAGCATCACCAATTCACTGTTTCACTGCCTATGACAGACATAATCTCCTAGGAAATGAGCTGTAAAATGTCAATTTCAAGAATTTGGTCTTCATTGTATGAATAAACCAGAAATGGTCTGATCCTGTCTCAACTGAGAACTTTAAGGTTAGTTTATTACTGACTTCATCAGCATGCATTAGATCCAGTGAACTTCCATGGTGTTTCATGAGTACACTAMCTTCCCAATATTTTCTAAGGAAGAGTTACATGTATGTACTACAAGGAGGCCTTGTAGTTGGCGCTCATGGCTCAGTTGACTTTTCTACTGCACATGGTAGACAGATACTTCCACCTGGGTCATTTTTGGTCATTTCTAACACTTATGACCAAAGTTCTTCAGCAATCCATCAGTGATTATTTAGACATCCCTCCTGGCAAATAAATGTGGTTTTCTAGTTTAATGTCATAGGTACAAAAATACATATTTTTACTTCCTTTGACTTCTGACTATAATGGTCTTTTTTCCGGTCTTTTACCTTCACCTATGACAAATTCTATTTTCAGACTTTTACATTGTCTTCCTAAGATTTTTATGGTTACTTACTATTTTGAGCAAAAGTATAAAAATCTCATCTAGCTCAGAAAATACTCTAATTATTAGAAAAAAAAAATTGGTTCAACTACCTAAAGATGAAAGTTGGTGACAGTATCTACTCTGATGAAGTATTACTGATTCTCTTACTTGAGTCTATTCACTATAGTGAGGAAACAATTTAAATTAATAAAAAAAGATAGAACAACTACTCAACAAGTAAAAAAAAAAAATTGAATCCCAAAACTAAGAGTCAGTAAAAATTTTTCTGCCTTGAGTAATCTCTAAAATCATTATTGGTCTAATTAGTTACAGTCAAATTCAATGTTGACTTAAATATTATAAATTATTTTTGAATATTTCATAAATTTGTTAATTTTTAAAGTTAACCAGTATAGCACCAAATCGAGCTTTCCATATCATTTCATTATGATCGCTGACATACGTGTCTGAGGGACCTTATTCGCTTAAAGTCTATGCAGAATGAAAGACRAATTTATTGACTGAACTGAGCTTACAACAAAGAAAGAAAATAAGACCTCCAAAATGTGACTCAAAAATTTGAAATTCAATATTTGCTTATCCTGTTGTTCTTCAACTGCTCCCCCTTCTCCCATGATGGGGCCTTTTTTTTTTTTTTTTTTGGTACCAGGGATTGAACTCAGGGGTACTTGACCACTGAGCCACCTCCCCAGCCCTATTTGTATTTTATTTAGAGACAGAGTCTCGCTGAGTTGCTTAGCGCCTCATTGTTGCTGAGGCTGGCTTTGAACTCACGATCTTCCTATCTCAGCCTCCCAAGCTGCTGGGATTACAGGTGTGTGCCACCTTGCACAGCTCCACGATGGAACTTTTATGTGAGTCCAATGTCCCTTTGAAAAAAGGCTGTTTCCCAGACCCTTTTGTGTCTGAAAATGGTCATAGTTCTGATTTCTGGTTTGTCTGTGGCTATTTTTAGGAAMCTTTTTTATGAGCTGCTGGATTGAACCCTTTGCTCCTGCTCCCTTTGCCCCCCCTCCTACCCTGCAGTCTGCTGGCCGGAACATGACCTTACTCCATGAGCATGTGAGCTACATGCAGAGGGCACTACCTTGCAGAGCYAAAGAGGCCGGAATCCCAAAAGATTCTAGAGCTGACAGCTCTCAGCCCTGGCAGCTCTCAACTGACTCTCTGGATTTTTGCATGAGGAAGAAAGAAACTTCTTTCTTAAGTCACTGTTAAACAGGTTAGTAGATACTAAATAGATCTAGTAGATACTCTATATAATAAGATACAATAAGAGAATAAGCAAAAGATAATTATTTTWAAAAATTAAAATTGGTTTTTATTCTGAAACATCTGAAGTATTTTTTTAGATTTCTGAGAAACAAAACATTTGCTGCTATGATAAAGTTCTCATGCCTTGTGGCAATAYAGCCAACCTTAAAAATATTATGTTTATAACAGGTCTTCTTTAATCTTTAAGCCCAAGGGTATATTCTCGAAAGATTATCAAGAATCTCCCGTATAAGACCTTCTCACCACAAGAATGTCATTACTTGGGCCTGGAGAAAGACTTTATCGAATACTTCCAGTATATTTTTCTGAAGAGTATCAAAAACYGAGCACATCTTAAATGAAGTACTTCTAGAAAACTGCTATAGATGGATCAGGAAATGCACCCCCAAAAGCCCATACGTTAAAGGCTTGGTCYTTATTGTAGTCCTACTGGAATGTGGTGGAACTTTGAAGAGGCAGGGCTTAGAGGGCTTAGTGATGCATASAGAAGTACAAGACTTTCATATAAATATTAAAAAATTTAAGAATTCCTATTTTTTTAAAGAAAACCTTCCTCTATGTATACATATAATACAGACACATGTTCCTAAGTTTGTAAAATGATTCTTATGATTTATTTGTATTTAAATAAAACTCAACTAAGTAACCCCCCCTAAGAAACTACTATATTTCTTGAGGTCTTCATGGGTATGCCTTTGAAGGGATTGAGATCCTGGTCTCCCTTCTTGTTCTCTCTTGTTTTCTGGCCATGAGGTGAGTGYTTGGCTCTGCCACTTGCTCTTGCCAAGATGTACTACAAAAGGCCAAAGAAACAGAGCCAACTAATCCTGGACTGCAACCTCTAAAACTGTGACCTCAAATGAACTTTTTCTCTTTATAAGTTCATTAGTTTAAAAGTATTTGTTATAGTAATAGAAAGCTGATTTAACAGAAACWTTTGTTTTTCAATGATTTACAGTTATATTAAATTTTGACTCTTTACTGGTTTTAGATTTTATCCAAGTTGTCTTTGGTTGTGTTCCCTTAAGTACTGGAAGAAAGAGACATGAGGGTAAAGTTTACAGACTGAAGGAAAATTAGAACAAAACACTGCTTAGGAAAGGAGAGGATCAGGCAAAGAGTTTACATACTGGATCTTCGCTGGACAGGTTGGGGTTCATGGGCACATAATTCTCCTCGCTGTCATGTGAGTCACTGCTTGACGTTGTGCTGTGCACTGAATCCGGCCGTGGGGACAAGGGAAACCTAGAGGAGCTAATCACAGAAATTATCATCATATATGTAAACCTTGATGAAAACTTCTGAAATCGCTCCCCCAAATAAAAATGAAGGCGTGCATGCCTTCTGAAATATTCATTTACATTGATTGTACACATTAATTACAACAGAATTTATTACACACATTAAAATGCAACTAACACAGATGTATTATAAAAGGAGATTTGGACGTCAAATTATATTGTGTAATACAAAYAAAAGATAAGTTATTACTAGTGATGTGTAGAGAAGTAAAAACTTTYATATCAATATAAAAAGATTTAAGAATTCCTATTTTCTAAAAAAACTTCCTCTAGGTATACATATAACACAAATGCACGTTCCTAAGTTTGTAAAATTATTCTCTTTTCCCCATATGTATATGTAAATAAATCTCCATTAAGTAATCCCCTAAGAAACTACTATATTTTCCAGATCAGTAGTTCTCAGATATTTTTGGTCCCATGAATCCTTGATACTCTTAAAAATATTAAGAACCTCAACTTAATATGAATTATTCTACTGATATTTATCATATCAGAAATGAAAATAGAAATATTTTTAAAATACAAGAGTACACAAATGCACATTAACTGTCACAATGATATCATGACATATCATGAGAACTCACATGATCTGGAAAGTTCCACTGCACACAAAGAATGGAAAAGGCAAATGACATCTTGGTATCTTAATGAAAATAGTTTTGATACACAGAGTCCTCAAAAGATCTAGATAAATTTCTTAATAATGAAAATTCTAGATAGTATGTTTTACAATGTATTTTTTTAATATATATTTTTTAGTTGTAGATGGGCACAATACCTTTATTTTACTTAGTTGTTTTTAATGTGGTGCTGAGGATTGAATCCAGTGCCTCACACATGCTAGGGCAAGTGCTTTACTACTGAGCCACCAACCCCAGCCCTTACACTATGTATTTATAAAGTACTTACTCTCGAGCAAAACTCCTTGTGATGGGAGATCTAACTGGGGCTTGTAATTCTTCCCATTCTGGCAAAGGTTTTATTTCTAAAGGTGCAGGCTTGGCTGAAAAGAAAGGGAGAAGGGAGGAATTGGGTGTATAGAACTTTGGGAAGCAAACAAGATCCTCTGCATCTCAATTTTTATATAATAGAATATACCCGAGACCAGCTAGCTTCACACATGAAACAAAGTTCATGGATATTACATGATGTGACACAGCTCAATGCTTAGAAAAAATATGTTTCATGATTGTTTTAAGCTCCATCATGCATGTTGCTTCTTAATTTAATGTTTTGTGAGTGTAATCTAAATGTGAACAAGAAAAAGTAATGTGACCCAATTCCTTTATAGTTGCTTGATTTATACTTTTCATTATTTCATTCACTCATTCTTTTACTAATTTCATCCTCAATATAGAAATGTAATCATCTACATAAAAATGTTACTATTCTTCAATACTGAAGCATCAGTTACACAACTAAGCAGGTAAAATGATGCATAGAGAGTATTAAAACCAAAAATTTAGTAAAAATCCAGAACAAAATTTTGCTAAAACCAAAAGGATTAATTATCAAATCATTTAAATCAATTCACACACCATCTGGAAACAAAACAGAGTAAATTATATCTTTGGACTCAAATTCTGCTTTAAGGCCATAATTATTTTAAACAATCACTCCAAACTTTTAGCTTAATTTAACCAATGAATCCTTTACCAAATTAAGTAAAATTAAGTAATGTTTATTTTTAGCTTTATTTATTAGAAGCCTTTACTTATTTACCTCATTATTGCAGTAAACAGTTATTWGAACTAATTTGTACCAGAGTTTTTGGCCCTTTCCTTAAAGTCAAGACTGAAATGTTTTTTCAGAAAGGTACAGAGTAAGCAGAAAAATGAAAATACCATTTTTAAATATTAATTATATTATAGAAAACTGCTCAGATGCATTGAATAAATATCTCAATCATGTTTCATCTTGCCACTTTCAAAAAAAACGTTCACTTTGCCATGTTTCCTTAGTCTTTATTGATGTATGTGAAATTTTAATCAATTAGGTTACAGTTACCATCAAACTACAAAATAGGTAGTCATTTCAAAAGACTATATAGACTCCCTGGGGCCCATAGGTATTTTTATTAACTCAAATATAATGCAGGTTGATTTACTAAATTTGAGTTAAAACAGTTTTGCTTGTCTACATTAGACATGTACAGAATTAAGCTGACTGAATGTATTTTATAATTTTTAGTATTTTATTCTTTTGATACCCAAAGGCTAATGGTAATTTATCTAAGTAACAGCATAATTAAATACCTGGGAATAAAATGTGTGTGTGTGTGTGTGTGTGTGTGTGTGTGTGTGTAAGATAACTGGAAATCACAAGCAGTTCACAAGCTTAAAGAAAACAATGTTTCATTGCGTAAAACATTAAAAGAATAAGACAAGACTGAATATCACATATTATCTGATATCTAACATGCTGCTGTTAATGGCTAAGTAGAATCAGTACATTATGAAAAGCATTCACTTTAGAAATAACATGCTTTGGGAAGCTTTATTTGCAACAGCAGTAGTATTTAAGGATCCTCTTTTGTTTGCCTTTTTAAGAAAACAAAACAAAACAAAACAAAAAAACACAAAACATGAAATAATAAAATTCCCAGCGCCCCAGAGAGCATGCGGTGCTAAAGTACATACCCTTTCTTCTTGTAGCAAAGTCACCTATGGTTTGTGAATCAGTTCGCTCTAAACCATGGGGTTTGGGTCTTAAAATTTTAGGACTTTGACCTAATTGGTAGAAAGAAGACTCTCTTAATATAATGTTATTTTTAAACTGGAAAAAAGGGTTCTGTTAAAAAAAAAAAAAAAAAAAAAGGGCAGCAGAGCCCTATGCAGAAATGTTGTATCTCCAAGGCATAAATTGTTTGTGGAAAATATTCCAACCTTGCTACACATCATTCATGCTCAGCACAAGGGGAAGGAGGAAGGCCCATGCGACAAGGTAAAGAGTCAAGGGTTATAAGGGGTGGCAGTATTTTAGTGGGAAACCAGCCGGGTTGGTTATCGCTATTTAAGGGGAGTGAGGAAAAACACATGCCCTGTTAGTTTTTCTTCTAACATGACTTAGAAAACTGGATCCAATAAAACATGACGAAATCCCTCAGTGAGATGTATGAAGTTTGGTGTTCATGAGAAAGTATGAAGGCCTGCTTCCCTACGATACTACTTTTTTCATTTGGTACAGAAGGTTTAAAACCCAAATCTGACTATTCCTGCACCTCCTGACTAGGACCTTGTACCGAAGCAGGTGGCCACTACAATATTTGCTAACCTAAGACCAACACTGATCTGTGTCCCTTGGATACATAGTAACTGCCCAGTGACTTCATCTTCTAAGGAGGAGATGTTTACATTCTGGCACTGGTGATTGTCCAGCTTCAGCACAATGTACTGGAAAGCAGAAATGCAGTTGCCATCATTTTCCTGTCATTTTCTCTGTCACCTATAAGAATTGCCAAAAAACCTTGTGAAAAGTACCCTGTTCACAGCTGTTGGTTTCACACCTTTCCCCATTAGAAGTCTGGATGCCAGAGTCGCAAAATCATGGGATCAGTAATTTAAGTCACCCTGTTCTCAGTGGTACCAAATTTCATTTATTCTTAGAATTTACAAAGTTGAGGTGACATCTACCAGATGGTAAGTTAGAATTTGCTGGTCAGAGGCTGATATGTAGCACCTCATCTATTGAAATCAAAAAGTTTCTTAAGATACGATTCAGGTGATGGCTGGGAATGCAGCTCAGTGGTAGAGCTCTTGCCTGGCATGCATATAAGGTCCTGGGTTCAATCCCAGTACCTCAAAAGATTCAGGCTAAAATGACAGTTCTTTACCCATTTTCTAAGTTAAATAATTAACACATTGAGTTTATTCAGAAATGAGGCAGGTGTAGTTTACAATGTGAGTAATCATATTTTGGGCAAGATATACTCCCTAACCCCTCATGTTATCCAGGGCCTACAAAATGATAAGACATTTTTTCTAAAAGATGTCTGCTCTTTAAACTCCCAACAGCACGCTGCCCTTCAAAAAGAGCAAGAGGCAGAAGGTAAGTTTAGGAAAAAACGTGATTTCCCTGGAGAGGTTAAGTGACCTGCTCAGGTCACAGCAGGCTCCTGCCAGCCTGCCACCTCTTAGGGAGGTGTTCTTGTACTGTGACCACAACTGCCTTCACCTCTGTCCCTTTTAAAGATACAGAGAGTTATCAGAGGTATATGAAAAATAACCAGGAGCCTCGTTTAAAACCTATGCTTAGGAGAAGAAAAACAAGAGAGCCTTAGGAAACAGAGTGGAGTTTGAACACCTGTCAACTCTCCAGTTCAGCCGGGGATCTTCTAGCACCCCAGACTGCAAAGTCACAAGCTAGGCAACTCAACTAGAGAAAAGCAGAGACGTGCTCATCACACACTTGTATGTAAGCTGACGTTACTTGGAATATGTGGATATGGCTCTGGGTGCTACAYGTCCTTGAATGTCTCAGTTGACATGGATGATGTGATATTTAATAATTACAAAGTAACTTTAGAATTACTTTTGGTTTGCTGGTGTCTACCCACTAGCTGTCCTCACTCCTCCTCTTCCAAAAAAAAAAAAAAAACCCATTTTCCTCAGTTTCTCAGCCTCCTCCTGATTTCCTTTGCTGTGGTTATCTCCCAGTGGTCACTGTGCCATTTCTCAACTTAGCACTCTTGGCGTCCTATCTGTGTGTGTGGTTAAATAATCAAGGTCGAATGACTGCTGTGTCTATCTAACTGTGGTTTCCCACATTTTCTTTAGTCCATGTATCAGCTGCCTGTCAAGTCACGCCCAACTGTCCTTTCTCCTCCAAACCATGCCACTTTTCACCTCTAATAGCACTAGCAATGGCATCCTTTCTTGGATCCTTAGATGTAAAATCTCAGGGCTGTATTTTGAGARTCCATCTGTATTTGGTCTTAAAATGCTGAAGATCTGCCAATATGTCAAACTTTTATTTTGGAACTGGGGGGTTGAACCCAGGGGTGGTTACTCCCTAAGCCACATCCCCAGCCCTTTTTGTTTTTTTGTTTGGAGAAAGGGTCTCACTAAGTTGCTGAGGCTGGCTTTGAAGTTGCAATCCTCCTGTCTCAGCATCCCGAGCCGCTGGGATTACAGGTGTGCGCCATCATGCTGGGCCAATGTATCAACTTTTAAAATGAGAAGCACAAAATGGTAACTAATAGAGGTCAGTGAGAACGTTACCTAAGCTTGGATGAACACTGGCCTGATGGCTGTGATTGAGAATTATCAGAGGTCTATGAGAAATCATCTGGAGCCTCTTTTAAAACTTACACTTAGGGGAAGAAAAACAAGGCAGGAACAAGCCTACTATTTGTAAAGGAAGAGAAAGTAATGTTAATAGATTAAAAAAAAAAAAGACAATGCCTATCTTGCAATGGTCTTCTCCAACAAGGAGAAAGATCTTCAAACTGAAAAGAACAGAAGAAACCATCAGAGCTACTAATGGCCCTGTCATGTGAGAGGAGTGCATGATGGTACCTAGGTACTTTCAAGATTTATTTAATGAATTACATTTCAAGATACCAAGTGAGTTTACAGACAACACAGAATTCACATATGTAATGTAGGGAAATCATGGAGAATGTGGAAAGTGCCATGAGAACAAGCCACAAATGTCTTTAATGTCCCATTTGTCCCCTGAATTGTGTGCTGTTCTGGTTAAATGGTTTTCTTCTCTTTTTCTCATGCACAACTTTAAAATTTCAGTCCTTTTCCCTTTCACTGTCAATCTATCATTGCTTTACTAATCCATTTGTCTTTCGTTTCTATACAAAGATCAAGCTACAATACATCCTCTAAGACTGCCTTGATTTCAGAAATATCTCTGTACTTCATCATTAATAACCAGCAATTATCAAGGGTTTCTTATGCACTCGGTATTCTAAAAATTACTGAACCCTCCCAGAGAACTGGTAAGACGGGAGGAAAACAGATTTTTCATGTTATCACCGAGCAGCTGGCGCCTGCAGAGTCACCCAGACGCTGACTGGCAGTGCCAGGACAGGGATCCTTTGAATCCACATGGAGGGTTTGTGCTCTTATTCCAGTCTGGAACCCGTACATTAGCTATTGTATTCGTACTGTTTGCTGTGTCCAATGTCTTCTCAACTACATTTTAGGGACTGTACACATTAAATAGAGACATAATCACATTTCTCTGAAGGCCTTTTTACCTTCATGACTAATATATTCTTATTGGTCACAAGAAAAACACGTGAAATATCAGTGACTGTGAGGATGCATGTTATGAGAAATAAGGACTTTTCAAAGAAGTCATGTGATCTAAGGAGACACAAATAAGGCAGAAGCAGATGCATGATATCAGGGAGCTTCATCTTTTCTTTCTCTCCCCCCCCCCCCCCCCCCCAGTACTAAAAAGACACTCCCTTTCCAGGATATTCCTTTTTTTCTTTTCTTTCTGTGTGCGCGTGGTAGGGGGTACTAGGGATTAAACCCAGGGTCTTGCACATGCTGGGCAAGCACTCTACCACTAAGCTGTAGCCTCGACTCTCTTAAGTTTCATTTTGAGACAGGGTCTTGCTGTGTTGCCCAGGTGAACGTCAAATCTGTGATCTCATGCCTCATTTACCCATTAAGCGGGGATTACAGATGTGTGCCACCATGCCCAGGGGCTCCTTGGTTGGCTGTTTAGAAAACTATRATATTTTAGTTAGGTTTTAAAAGTGCATGCATTTATAAAACTTACAGGTATATTCTGCTATATAAAAAGCTTAAGACTGATTTTCAGGTCAAAGTCACAACCCAGGAATGTTGCAGGAAACGCCTGTGTCACTTAGGCATTTTGGCAGCTTTAAGTCCTTCCTAACTCAATTCAGCATTTATGTTCCAGACAGAAAAGTCAGGCCCCAACGGCTGCCTGATATGACTTATGAGAAAAGAAAGGAGGCAAAGGAGTCCAAGTGTACGTAAGCACTCTCATCTCTGCCTGTCTCCTCTGTGTGCAAATAATCTGAATGTTTTCTGATTGCTATAGAAAACGGTGAACACAGATATGAAGAAATAAGAAGACTAAATAAAACAAAAACAAAAATGAGCCACGTTGATTCTCACATTCTGAGAGTAAACTGGAGCTTCAACCTTTAAATTCAAGCCAGTTACGACTTGGCTTTCTCCAGACTAGGCCTGAATAAAGAATGCAGCACAATTTGGCAAGCAGCACAGAACATGGTGAGATTCCTATTCGTGCTTTAACCCTTAGAGAGGCTGGTACTCTGGATCGTGCAATCTGCTACCCAATTTTGAGTATAACCTGGTAAATCTGACTCTCTGGTCCAGATCTTTTATATATATACACATGGAGAGAGAAAGAGAGAGAGAAGTTTGTTTTCATTATCAAGGAAATCTCCTACAGGAAAGCAAATGTATCCCCCTTGCTGCTCCACCACACCAGGAATTGAACTGAGGGGGACTTAACCACTGAGCCACATCCTCAGCCCCTTTTTATATTTTTTTACAGTCAGGGTCTTGCTGAGTTGCTTAGGGCCAGTCTGGGCAACTTAGTGAGACTTGTCCCAAAATAATAGATAGATAGACAGATAGACAGACAGATCGATCGATCGATCGATCAGGGCTGGGATACAGCTCAGTGGTAAAGTGCCCCTGGTTTTGATTCCCAGTTCTGCAAAACAAATAAATTGATGAATAAATAAATAAGACACAAAAAGGACTTG